AAAATACAAAAAAATTAGCTGAGCATGGTGGTAGATGCCTGTAATCCCAGCTACTTGGGAGGCTGAAACAGGAGAATCGCTTGGCCCCGGGAGGCAGAGTTGTAGTGAGCCAATATCTCGCCATTGCACCCCTGCCTGGGTGACAGAGCAAGACTGCCTCAAAAAAAAAAAGATATGAAGAAATGTGTTATGAGACTATACAGGGAGGAGCAGAATAATTTACCTGAGGGAATGAAAATGATTTTTCATGGGGTCAGAAGGTGGGTTTTAGCATAATATGTTAAAGAATAAATAGAAATATGTTAAAGAATACATAGAGAAAAGGGCAAAGTAATTCCAAGCAGAGAGAACATATATACAGAGGTGTAAAAATATAAAGACTATTATATCTTTAGAGAATAATTTCATTGGGTGAAGAAGTGATAAGATTTAAAATTTAGAAAGTATTTAATTGGAAATCCTTATATGCTGGCAAGGAGTTCAAAATTTTCTAACAACATGTACGCCCAAGAGAACACATCCATAGCCACTAGTTTAAGATCTCTCAATTAGGGATAGAGAAGTTAGGAAGCTATTATTGTAGATGAGATGACAATGATATAAAAGCTAAGGGATAAACAGGAAGTAGAATGCCCTTAACTACAGCCACACAGTTTCATATTTAGAGTAGAATTAAATCATAGCTTTTAAAAAGACATGATAAATAGAGCTAGATACTTTTAATAAATGAGCCTTTACTGGCTAATGGCTTCAGTGATACTTCATACCACTGACTGTACTGAACACCACTAGGTATAAATCACAAACATCAAAATACCTATACGATACTGGTTAAAAACCTTCAGTCTCTTTTATACTATTATTACCTCTGACATCTTCAAAGAAGTCAGACCTAATTCAAGGTGGCAAGCAGTTTTGAGCAAAATAACTCAACTGAGAAAAATTATGTAAAGGTAAAATGTACTTTATGTGCCATACAGGAGGAGACAAAGTATGTTAATAACCAAATAATTAGTACACATCATTTACATGGTCCATCATAACTGGATCATGCAATAATCAAATACACAACAGACCAGGAAATAAGATTTTGGAAAGAGTCTTTGTAATGAAAAGCAACTAAAGACAAGCATCATTCTCAGCTTTAAATACTACAGTGCAATTATTAACATAGGTTTATTTACAGTAAAACTACTTATACATTTATTTCCTTAGGCATGATAATATTAAAGTATTTCTAGAAGGACAGTTTCGGTTTATTTTTCACAGGACACTATGTCTATATGGTGCCATAATCAATTATTGATAATAGTGTTAACAACATAATTTCAGCAGAGGTGGAATAATCCACAAAAACAAATAAATGTGTAACTATAGATCCTACCTACAAACAATTACAGGGAGTTAATAGATTCATTTAGGGACATGATGATAATAAATGTGTCTTGGATAGATTGAGCTTAAGTATGGAATCAGACTCTCAGAATTAGAAGGAATCTTAAATGTCATCTGCTCCATGTGACTTCAGTCAATTCTCCCTGTAAGTTTTCTTTGCAAAGCTGTTTCCATACTTACAAAACTCTTTATCAGCATTTATTTCTAACCTATTTTCCTTGTCTAATAAACTAATTCAAAGAGGAAAAATGAGACATATATGACATATAAAACCAATGCAAATGGAAATAATCCTATTTCTCATTTTTGAACACTGATTTTGTGCCTGGCCCTGTTCTAATCACTTTACCACACAATAACTCAAAGAGTTTGGTAGTATATTACTATTTTACACGTGAAGAATCTAAAGCATGGGAAGGCTAAGTAACTTGTCCAAGGTCACAGAGCTACTAAATGGTGGAGCTGAGATTTGAATCCAGGTAGCCTAGCTCTACAGATCACAGTCGTACACACTACACTGGCTCAAAATGAAAATGCCCACTACAGAGATATTAAGAACTTGTGAGAGAAGCCAGAGGCCCTACTATAAATTTGAAGACCACAGAACAATGAGTACTGTTCTAGAGAGGATGCAGTCTCATAAAATACATTTCCTCTTCTTCATCCCTATTGCCACTGTTATTTATTTAATCTTCTAAATGTCACTCGGACAACAGATTCCTATCGGGCTCCCTGCCTCTAGGTCTTCCCTCAATCCTCTTTGGCCTTAATAATGCTATGCTTGCAAAATAATCACATCTTACTGCAAGAATGGTGGTGCACACTTCTGTCAAATTATGTCACATCTTACTGCAAGACAAATTATGTCACATCTTACTGCAAGAATGGTGGTGCACACTTACTGTTCAAAAGATTAAGATCCAAATTCCTTAAAATGGCATTTCACAATTTAGCTACACTAGATTCTTACTTCACTGTTTACAATTATCCACCACATAGCAGAATGGCACAAGGAAATAAAACTTCAGCAAGTTAATCTCCTCGGGCCTTCGTTTCCTCATCTATAAAATGGGATCATAATAGTATCTACATACTAAGGTTACATATGTAAAATGCTTAGCACATTGTAATAACCCAATAAATACTACTTGGGATGACGATGGTGTTGGTGGTGACTTCTTTCTCTATGTTCTCATAGCAATCTTTATACACTTTTATTATCATAACCTACAAGCACAAGCATCTTCCCATTAAATTATGAGTGTTTAGATAACTGGGGCTGTGTCTTACTCATCAGGAACCAATATAGGACCTGATTTAAAATAACCAGCAAATGTTGATTAATTCATGATTGAGGACCAATCATGACATTGATCAGTGATTTTTCTCAATCCATTTATGAACTCTAGTATCCAAGAATATTTTTCTAGAAAATGGTTAAGAGGTAAGAGTTATGGTAAGAGTTAGGTGAGAGTTGAGGTAAGAGTTATGGTCTACAGCCATGAAAATGAAATTATCTGTTGCACTTGGAGATGATCTGTGAACCCAGCCCCATAAAAAGAATACATTATCAAGTCAGGCAGATTCTAACCACTTTCTACCATCTCTGTTGTTACCACTTTAGTCCAAGCTATGTCCAAACCTCCATGCATTAACCAAATGGCCTCCTAACTGGTTTCTCTAATTCTACCCTTGCCCTCTTACACTGTTCCCAGCAGCCAATGTATTCCTAAAAATAATCATATCACATCATTCCTCTGATGGAAACCCTCCAATGGCTCTCGATTTTATTCGGAGGAGAAGCCAAAGACCTTATCATGGCTTTCAACATCTTTCTGATCTCATCTCCTTCCCACTCCTCTCTCACTTCCCTCCAGCCACACTGGCCTCCTTGCTGTTCCTTTAACACACCAAACACACTCTCAGTCTTTACCATGATCCCAACAAATCTAAATTGTAAGTAAAAAATTATAGGCCGGGTGCAGTGGCTCAAGCCTGTAATCCCAGCACTTTGGGAGGCCGAGGCGGGTGGATCACAAGGTCAAGAAGTCGAGACCATCCTGGTCACCATGGTGAAACCCCGTCTCTACTAAAAATACAAAAAATTAGCTGGGCACGGTGGCGCGTGCCTGTAATCCCAGCTACCCAGGAGGCTGAGGCAGGAGAATTGCCTGAACCCAGGAGGCGGAGGTTGCGGTGAGCCGAGATCGCGCCATTGCACTCCAGCCTGGGTAACAAGAGCGAAACTCCGTCTCAAAAAAAAAAAGAAATTATACAAACTAAATATTTGAAAACAGTCTGATAGACTAAATGTTTCTCTTTTTTATTTTGTAGCAAGGCAACATGTTGACATAGCCCAAGCAGTCCAACAGCATTCTAACAATCGTCAAGGATGAAATTAGGCTTTTGAAACTCCCACTTATAATGAAAGAAAGGTATGTAAAACCGTGATCCGGAAGTGTTGAAGATCACCGGATAACTATAATTGAGAATGTTTGTAATAAATGTGCTAGACCCCAATCCAGTTAATATAGAAAAAGGCGCCTCAGGTCGGGCGCAGTAGCGTGAGTCAGCACTTTGAGAGGCCGAGGCGGGTAGATCACCTGAGGTCGGGAATTCGAGACCAGCCTGACCAACATGGAGAAACACGTCTCTACTAAAAATATAAAGTTAGCCCAGCATGGTAGTGCACACCTGTTATCCCAGCTACTCGGGAGGCAGAGGCAAGCGAATTGCTTGAACCCGGGAGTTGGAGGTTGCGGTGAGCCAAGATCGCGCCATCACACTCCAACCTAGGTAACAAGAGCGAAACTCCGTCTCAAAAAAAAAAAAAAAAAAAAAGAGAGAGAGAGAGAGGAGAAAAAGGCACAGCATCTCAAACACTCCCCTTTAAAAATCAAGTACTGTTATACGAACAAAAACAATTCTACATGCTCCCAAGACCATTAACGGGTGGCATCTCCATATATTTATTCACTGATTGATTAAATATTTGAGTACCTCTAGAGTTCAGGTGTGAAAAATATACGACCCCTGCCCGTAATAATTGATGAATGTTCGATGTAAAGTATTATCGACTCAAAAATAAACCTTACAACAGAAAACATTTGGGATTCATGCCCAGGAACTCGCGGGGCGCGATCGTATTAGGGAGTCACCATGCCAAGTCCCAAGACATGAATCAAATCAAGTTGGCTCATTACCCCACTCCCTTCTCTGCCCAAAGGCCATTCCTTCACCCCAACAGAATAACTCGGTTGTTGTAGAGATATGCATGTAGAACAATACTCCAGCTCTGAAGACTCAAAGCCCAGAGTTGCTTCCAACCCCTTCTCTCCTACGCTTCCAAGAACTTGGAAAAACTCGTCAACGTTTAGCTAGATCACAGCCTTAGGTCGTCCACAAAAAGCACTGAGAAAGCTTGAGATCTAACACAAAGGAACCTGAACCTTGAGCCTGCGAGCTATAACGTCCCAAACTAGTCCACAGACAATCAAGAGACAAAGTATAGCAATACGATATACCTCGAATATCCACCGCCGCCATAATTCCGAAAGTGTTCACAGGTTCTCTTTCCGGCGCAAAGTAAACGTAAGCCTAGGCCGCCGGAAGCAGCGGGTTGAGGAGAGTGCGCAAGGGTGAGGAGGAACGTAAAGCAGAAGATGGGGCGGGGAGGGCAGGGGAGGGGCGGGGCTGGGAGATACGAGCGGAAAAGGAGGGGGAGGAAATGGAGAGAGGCGGGGAGGCGGGAAACGCGGGGCAGGGCGGGGCGGGGCGCTGAAAGGGCTGTGCAGGTGTGCTGGGAAAGACTGGGCAGGGAGGGAAGGGCCAAAGAAGAAGGGGAGGGAGGATTACCGGGAAAAAAAATTAGAAGACAGAGTACAGAAAGAATTCTGTCTTGATCTGTGATCGTCAAAAAAAAAAAATTCTGATGCTGTAGAATTGTGCGTGGGAGCGTCTCAATTTTTAAAGCTCCTCTTGCGTATATATTGAGCTGTTAGATTTAGGAACGATGGTCATTTATATTTTTCACCCTGCCTCAGGTATTGGGATGGGACAGGACTCAACATAGAGAATCTGGGAGTCCTTGGCTTTTATGTGACTAAATCCATTAACAATCTAAACCAATTAAAGAAGCCTCTGAGAAAAATTTCACAAGACAGGAAATGCTTCTGAAGTGAAATATTAATGAGATTAAGAGAAAGGAAATACCCCTGGGTCCCAGAGTAAGAGCAAATGTCTGCATTCCAAGTAGTCTGGGGTAGGTAGCAGGACTCCAAAGAGGGCATGATTCTGTGTACGGGGAAACTACAGAAAGCCTCAGATTCTCAAGCTCCAATGTGGCTCTAAAAGCAAAACGATAGAAAAATATGCAAACAACACACAGATACTGGTAAGAGGATACCAAAATCTGAAGAAGGAATGAGGGTGGGTGCCTACATCTTCTCCAAAACTTAGGTACTGTGAAGACTCCCCAAGAATTTAACCACAACGCAGGGGCAAGTGGGAAAGACCATGAATTTAATTGGGATTTTCAACTTCATAGATAAGGAATTCAAAATTTTTAAACCTCGTAGAATAAAGGTACATGGCCTGTACATTTCAGTTTGGAGATTTTCTGCCTGAGATGGTATGTGTAAAATAGGTGTCCCAACAGAAATATGTGCATGCACAGAGTAGAATTTGACAGAATTTTTCAGGAAGGAAATTTTCAGGAGGGCCTGGTTGGGACCCTAGTGGGAGGACGTTGCAAAAAGGAGGAATATCATGTCCAATAGAAAGACATGTGTGATAGATACATCAAGGTTTTTGTTTTGTTTTTCTAGTTTTTTGTTTCTTGGTGTTTTGTTTAGGCTAGAAGGAGATTAGGAAAAATAGTGATAGAACACACATCTGTAGATAATAAAACACATGGTATACATGATAAATCAGACCTGGAAGCTAAACCTTTATCTTGTAGGCAATAGGAGAAATGTGATCAAGCTTCCATTTTAGAAAGATTACTTGAGGAGGATGAGTTGGAGGTGTTTGTAAGACTCAAAGCAGGGAGTCCATTTAGGGGATTCTTGCAAAAGGTAGTGGTAGCTGATGGGAAAGAGAGAATTAAAGATATTTAGGTAATACAATCAAAAGGAAATTAGTGACTAATAAATGGGCTTGATAAGGGAGAGAGAAGAATTAAAAATGATTTTCAAGATACTGGTTTATGAGACGAGTGCCATTAATCAGATTAGGAATAACAAGGAATAAGTGAGTAGGTGAGAAAAGAGGTAGTGATTTATTTATGATCATGACCATGTTGTTCATAAAGTATCTGCAAAACATCCTGTTAACCAGGGTATCTTAGCCTTTGCACTATGGATATTTTGGGCCAGATCATTCCTTGCCTAAGGCAAATGTATGTTTAGTAGCAGTCCCAGCTTCTACCAACTAGATGCCAATAGCACCCCCGCCCAGCAAAACTATTCCCAGTTGAAAACCACTGCTATATACTGGTGTCTTTAGGAATACGAAGTCAAAGCAGAAGAGTTTCAAGAAGAAGGAGTACTCAACAGCATCAAGGAAACAAGTGAGGTAAGGTAACCGCCAAGAAGCAGGCATTGGATTTGGTAAATTGGATGCCCATAACAAGAATAATTTCTGTGGAATGGTAGGAAGGGGCAGAAGCCAGAGGAAGATATGTTCAGGAGTAAAAAGAGGTGGCATTGGGTGTAAACTGTGCTTTCAAGAAGCTTGGCTGAGAGGGAAGGCTAGAGCTAAGACATTACCTAGAAGGGAATATGGAAATAATAATAGGGAAATGTGAGTATGTTGTTAGATAATGTGAAAGACCCAAAGAGAATATCTCCAGTTTATCTTAAAATTGTTCATCCATTCATGAGTCGGTCATCAAGTACTTAACGCCTACTATATGCTTTGCTCAGCTCTCATTTCAGAAGATAAGTCAGTAAACAGACAAAGCCTCTGGCTTTAAAGAGCCAGCAGCTCCGATGGAAAAGAAAGACCATGAACAAGTAAACAAATAGAGAACATTACAGCCTCACACCTGTAATCCTAGCACTTTGGGAGGCCAAGATGGAAGGATCCCTTGAACCTAGGAGCTGGGGACCAGTCTCGTCAACATAGTGAGATCCCATCCCTATTTCTCTCATATTAATTGTTTCAATTAATAAAGAAATATAAATTTAAAAAGAAGAGTATTACAGATTGCAGTAACAAAAACAAGAGAAGACGAGATAGGGAGGAAGCCACTTTGGATAGGACGGTCAGGACAGGCCTCTGAGGAAGTGATACCTGAGATGAGACCTGGAAGATGAGAGTGAATCACTCATGTGAACAGCTGGGGCACAAGCATTTCAGGCAGAGGGGACCATGGAATCTACAGTGAGAAACAGGATGTTCTCAGAACCATAGAAAGGCCAGTGTAAGCTGGATTACATGAGTGAAGGGTGAATGGTGGCAAAAAAGGAGACTGGGGCTGAAGGCAGAGGCCAGATGATAGAGAGTCTGGTCAACAATTTATTTTTTATTCAAAGAAAATAGAAAGCTCTTAAAAGATTTGAAAGAGTAGAATGCCACAAAGGTATTAGTTCTGAGTGGAAATTTGTTTATGGATGTCCAAAGTATTTGCTGTGCTTATTGAGCCACTTACTGTGGATGAGGCACTCTGCTAATCACTTTGTTCCCACAAAACAACTTTGTGAGGCAGCAGCTATTACTCCCATTTTTATTTATTATTTATTTATTTAATGATTAATAGATGATTTATTTGCGGTAATACATGTAGTCATCATTGCCAGACTTAATATGAGAGACTAAATGTTCAATCCAATTTTCCTTCCTGGATAAGTTTTTCTTTCTTATCCCTGTCAGTTTTGAGAATATAATACGACAAGATGAGGGGCCCAAATCCAACCACAGCTCCCAGGAGTGAGTTTTTAGGAGTGGCTCTGCAATTAGGATAGACGTTTGCTCTTGCATAGGCCCAACGAACCAAGGCAGGATTTACGAGTCCTCGGCGGTTGGGATCGTTGTACTGAAGCAGGTACTCTCGTTTCAGCCGGGCTCTAATGGCCAACTGCTCGACCTGCGCCTGCTGGTTTTCCAGAGATAGGTCATATTCGGCTGGGTCGAGGGTCTGGGGCAGAGTGGCTAGGCGCGACGGTTTATGCTTTGGGAACGACATCTTGGCGACCCAAGGCACCACTCCCATTTTTAAATGAGGAGACTGACTGAAGCAGATGAGCTAGCTTCTCGCCAAACTTATTATCTACTTGGGTATACAGCTATGCTATATATTCCACCCCTGTTCCACCTGGATGGAGCTACATAGCCAGTTCTCATCATAGGACTGTGAATGGAAGTGATAAGCATTACCTCCAGGCCAAGGTAGTGAGAAACACTGGTTCCATATTCACCTTCTCTCTCTGTATTCACCAGCTAAATGCCAGAGAAACCTAAGGTCATGAATTAAAAGTGGTGGTGGTGAGGGGGAGTTGGGAGTGGGGTCTCTGAATGACTGACCACAGGTGCTGAACCACCTTGCTGACCTTAACTGGATCCAAAGCAAGAAATAATATTTTACTGAGTTAAAACACACACACACGAAAAATTTTGCTATGTATTATCTCCTCCACAAAATCAGTAATACTGATGTAACCTGTTTTCTGTAGGATATATTAAAATGTGTGCCTGCCTCCCCTATATAGAGTGTTACCTGTGACCTTTTGAAGCTTTATAATTTGAGGACTTAGATGGAATGTAAATGTGAGAATGCAAGTGAAAGAGAGAGAAAAAAAGATCTTCAGTAAGAACGTGGGAATGATTTCTGATTGGTTAAAGATGAAATGATACTCATGGATACTCATCTTCCGCCATAGGATCACCATCTAGATAAACAGCTTTTCTTCACACAAGCTCCCTTTAAATACCTGACGCCATGATCCTCATTACTATGTTTTGTTTTCTCTAACGTTCTCTCCAATATTCTAAATTTACACAGGTCATGTCATCCCACTCTGTACCTATAGAAATGTGTGCCTTTCCTTGTGGGAATACCTCTATGATTGCAGGGCCTGAATTCAGACTCTTTTCTAAAAAAGAAATTCTCTAGACTGTAAACTCTGTGAGGACATGGTCATGTCTGTGTTTGCCTAGTGTTACTTTATCTCCTGCGGGGTGTTTTTTATATAGTAGGTGTTCAACAAATAATTGTTGATTGGACAAATTCATGTATAAGTGAATGGATGATATGGCAGCCCTCAGATAAATAATAAACTTCATTAATTCAATAATAAATGAAATATGAGATTGTTAATGGAGATTAATTTATGGGACTTTATAAGAAAATTCTTAAAATCTCTCCTGATGTTAGAATAATGCAAAATGCACATCAACTTTATTTATACTAATATTCTAAACAAAAACAACGTGGTTATATTTTGTTTGGTGTCAAAATGTAGCAGGAAAGGCCATGGGAAACAGATCTCCAGAACACCAAAGGAAAGACTTACTTTATTACACCCAGGAGCTGAGGAAATGATCTGTCCAAATTCAGCTCATCTAACAAAGGAAGGTTCTGCCTTTATATAGGCCTATATTTTAGATATTACATGTGGAATAATCTTAGGTTTATAGCTTTAGAAATCACATATGAAAAGGCTCTTGGTTTACAGCGTCAGGAATCACATATGAAAAGAGTTTCGGTTTACAGTTTCAGGAGTCATATGTGAAAAGGTTCCGGTTTACAGTTTTAGGACACATATGTGAAAAGGTTTCTGTTTACAGTTTCAGGAATCACATATGAAAGGGTTCCAGTTTACAGTTTTAGGTTCGCATGTGAAAAGGTTACAGTTTTAGGAATCACATATGAAAGGATTCCAGTTTACAGTTTTAGGACTCGCACATCAAAAGGTTTCTGGTTTGATCTTGTTTAAGTAAAAATACTGCCTTCCGGAGAGTTTCTCCAAGACCAAGCCTACCACCTACAGGAAGGTGAAACAGGAGAGGCGCCAGTCAGTCAGCCTTTTCTTCTATTGAAACGCAGTGATAGTCAAAGGGGAAGTTGATCTGAGATGCCTGGGTCTCCTTCATCACTACCAGGAAAGTATTTTAGGAAATGACAAATGTGTGTGGTGTTTTCCCTTCTTATTTAGTGAGAGAAAGTCCAGCTACTTCATTATACGAGACAGGGCAGAAAATTGCCTTAGAAATACTGAGGAATTCTTTTGGAAAAGTTACCTTGGAAACTCTGAGATTGGCCCCAGTGGTCCAGAAAGAAGTACGGTATCAATTTGTTTGTGATTTCACAACCCCTTAAGGCAATGCCAAAACCTGACCTGAGGCAGTAATTTTGAAAGCAGCTGTTCACCTTAGGAAGTGGCTGTAATCATAAACCAAAAAAATCAAATCACTATGCTTTAACCCTAGAATCCTAAACTTAAGAGTACAAATAAGCTTGGTCCAATCAGAATCATCTTTCCTCAAAGCACCTTTGTGGATTTTCCTCTCATTGCAGGTTAGTTGCCAAGGGCTCATGAGATTACACAGAGCTAACTTTAAGTAAAACTCCAAGAGGCATCGACAAGCAATAACAAAGACAAACTAGGTAATCATACTCCAGTATGGTATTAGAAGATATTTAACAACCCCCACACTCTTTGGGGTGAGTATGACCCTGAGATGCTTGGTTAATTCTGGAGCAGAACAAAGAGAAGTGTCCCAAGGAAGATCCTTGACTATCAACTCAATGCAGCAGGTAGGAGCTCAAAGTCAAATTGCTGTATCTGAAGTAACAATCCCAGCAAACCCTGAAAAGGAGGTGGCTGTGGCAATATCTTGGAAATCTGCTGGAAGTTCTTGCTTTACACTTAAGAACCTGTGGGTAGAGAATCAGACAGTTTCCTGAAGAAAAATGCAGGGAAGAAAGTAGTAATTCCGGGACCTTATCAGTAATAAAATAGTTCAATGTATTCTCATATTGTCCTTTTAATCGGGGCTATATCTATGCCCATATCTCCCTTTTGAATCACATTTGTTTCCTCTTTTTTTAAGGTATAAATGTCACCAAAGATTTATCTAATTTGATTCTATTTTTAAAGAATGAACATTTATCTTGATTAATTCATTTATTGTATATTTTTTGTTTCACTTATTTATGTTCATATTTTTGTTCATACTTTTATTCTTTCTATTTCCTTTGGTTTGATTCTGTTTTTCTAATTTATTTAGATGAACATTAATTAATTAATCTTCAGTTTTTATTCTTTTTTTTTGAGATAAAATCTCCCTCTGTTGCCCAGAGATGCAATATTGGCTCACTGCAACCTCTGCCTCCAGGGTTCAAGCAATTCTCCTGCCCCATCCTCTGGGATTACAGGCACCCACCACCACACCCAGCCAATTTTTTTGTATTTTTAGCAGAGACAGGGTTTCACCATGTTGGCCAGGCTGGTTTCTAACTCCCAACCTCAAGTGATCTGCCCCCCTCAGCCTCCCAAAGTGCTAGGATTACAGGCCTGAGCCACTGTGCAGGGCCTTTTATTCATTTCTTAAGTAAGCATGTAAGGCTACAAACTTTCCCCCAAAGAAACACTTAATTGCATACCTTAATTTTTTATGTATTTTCATTATCATTTAGTTCTAAGTGTTTAAGTTTTGATTTGATTTTTTTCTTTGATTTATGAGTTTTGCTTAAATTCCCAGGTATATGGAATTTTAAAATTTATCTTTTTGTTATTAATTTTTTTTTTAGACAGAGTCTCACTCCATTGTGATTCTCCTGCCTCAGCCTCCCCAGTAGCTAGGATTACAGGTGCACGCCACCATGCTTGGCTAATTTTTTTATATTTTTAGTAGAGATGGGGTTTCACCATATTGGCCAGGCTGGTCTCAAACTCCTGGCCTCAGGTGATCCACCCACCCCCGCGCAGCCTGTTAACTTCTAACTCAATTGCATTGTTCTTAAGGAACGTGTTCTACATAATACCTATTCTTTAAATTTGGTTTGGATTTGCTTCATGCCTTATATGATCACATGTGCTTAAGAAGGCAATGCATCCTTTAAGTGCTGGGTACAGAATCCGGCAGTGTTAGACACCCCAGCTTCTCAATACTGTCTTTTCTCGGTCTCCACAGTACTACCCTCCACTGGTATTTTTGCCACCTCTCAGACTATTTCTTTTCTATTCCTTGCACTGGCTTCTCTTCCTTTGTTTTACCTATAAGACCTCTAATCCTGAGATCTTCCTATCTTTCCTGTCTTCCTGCTTTTCACCCTCCTCTCTGGATAATTTAATTCACACTGTGGCTGCAGTTTTCATCTATGTTATCATGGCTCACAAAGCAGCCTAATCTAGAACTCTCTCCTGAGCCCCAGGAACATATTTGTAACTACATACTGGATAGCTCCAACTTGCTGTTCTGTTTCGAAGTGCAAGAGATTCACTCTTACCTGTATTCTTGATCTTAGCTTAGAAACCTTGCCACTCCCTCTTCCTTACCTTCCACACTAATCTAGTGCCAAGTCTTGTCCATTCTTCTTAAGCACCTCTCTTGAATCGGGCTTCTCCTCTGCATCTCCACTGCTATTCTTTTCATCCCAATACCCATTCTGACTTGCCTGAACATTGTTGCCAGGGTAATTTTTCCATAGTGTTTTCTTGCTCTAAAAGCTTTACCGACTCTATTTTCAGCCCACAGCATGAAATGTAAGTGGGCACCAACCTACTTTTCAGCATTATCTCTCAACCCCAAATCACCACCGCACACACTGAACCCCTGTCACATGAGCTTCTCACAGATCCCCGGACTGTAGGAGATGTTTATGTCTCCGGGTCTTTGGACATGGTTCTACCTGGAAACTTGGAATGCTATTGTCTCTCTATCCTCACTCACACCCTTAACCCAGTACACAGGAGAGCAAATGTGTTTGCACACACGCATACACACAAATATACATTTATCTGGAAAATTCTCATGTGCAAGCAAGGTTAGAATATGTAGAAAAAAAACTTGAAAGAAGGGTTTATTATTCTGTGGATGCTGACAATTGATGATTAACAAAATTTTAGTTGGAGACAAACAGGTGGGTAGGGAGAAGGCAGGAAACAGGAAGTAACATGTCAGCAAATAGTCGCCTTCTCTTCATCATCTCTCTACTGACTTGTTAGGAAATTTTCTTAAGCCACCATAAAATAACATGTTCAATTCCACTTCTTCTCAGACACCTCGCTGCCCAGGCATTTGGCTAATTGGATGACTCTATATGAATGACTCTGTATTCCAATTCAATTTCATGTTACTTTCCCCTGGGATTGGTCACCTGGTAACCCTGATATCAGGCTTGTCTTTCTGGTAATTATGTTGTTTGTATTCTCTAATAATTACCTCCTGTTGAGTTTTCATGAAGTTTACATTTATTTCTAAACCTACAATATGTGGACATAAAGAAATATGTTATTTTCTTGGGCTCATGTATAGTGTATATTTATATAAGAATATTTACCAGATATTTATTAATAAGAAAATTTCTGGGTTTTTGTTCAATTTCCTGCCAGATGAAAGTGACCCTCTCCCTACCAGTGTCTGTCCATGTGAGTATGGCTTTATGTGATTTTGACACAAAAAGTAAGCTACTTATTTACATTTCTATGGGTGGTCAAGAGTGAGATTCAATGTCATTTCACAGATCAGGATTAAAAGAAGATTTTAGGCTGGGCACAGTGGCTCACACCTGTAATCCCAACACTTTGGGAGGCCGAGGCAGGTGGATCACCTGAGGTCAGGAGTTTGAGACCAGCCTGGCCAATATGTTGAAATCACATCTCTACTAAAATTTTTTTTAAAAATCAGTTGAATATGATGGCATATGCCTGTAATCCCAGTTACTCAGGAGGCTGAGGCAGGAGAACTGCTTGAACCTGGGAGGCTGAGGTTGCAGTGAACCAAGATGGCACCATGGCACTCCAGCCTGGGTGACAGAGCAAGACTCCAACTCAAAAAAAAAAGAAAGAAAGAAAAGAAGATTCTAAAACTTCACTATCAGCCAAATAAGCCTTAACAGCAGGGGAAAAAAAATGGAAAATAATAGACTTTATAATACAGTGTCTTTTCTTGTCTCCAGTTTGTGCTAAGTTATCTTCGAGTTAAATGCAAATGAAGAGTATCAATGTACATAATTTTTAGATACACAGTAAACCCATGTAAACAGTGTAAAACCATACTGTATATGTGTTAACATCAGGGCATTTTAAAAAATATGCTATGTACAAACCTGAAAATATTTGTCTGATTCATGGACAAATCACTCAAACAAACAATTCATCTTTTCAGTCTTCATTTATTTATGTATTCAGCTGTCAGTTGTGGGTGGGTACAGAATGGCCATATAATTCAATATTATAATACAAAGTGAAAAATGATGTAATAGATGTTATAAGTTTACAGAATATCAGTCAGCTCTAAAGCCCCCATGGAGGCATGAAATAATGGAAAATGCTTCTATTCTTAACATGCTTAAGTTTGTATTTTAGATGAATAAGACATATATGTACACATATATACACTCAAAGATGAAACAAGTAATTCATAATTTTTGTTGCAAATCTATTATTCCTCTTACCAGAAAACTGTATTCACATATAAGAATTTGTCAGATTTCAAAAGCAAGATTGGAAAGCATAGTGATCACTGCATATTTTGATATAGAATGAAAATAAATTTGAATTTGAGGTATAATTGAAATTGAAGTAAATTATATGTGAAATTAGAATGAGTAAGTTTGAAGTGGTAATAAAAATAAGCCTTGTATGTATAAATTCAATGGAAGTATTTTTCTCCATATAGGCGTAGCACATATAGGTAGAAAGATTTTACAAAGGTATTAGGGGACAAGGGTAACTTTATTTTAAAAGCAAGTCTGCCATGTAACTTCTAACTAACCCTGAGTTTGGGAATGCCTCCAAAATGGCTAGTTGATATATTTCTCTTCATGTAGAAGCATCTATTTATTGTAGGTTTCCTCCAAAACAACCCTTGTTGTCACAGAAATCACAGGATGTGATGCCCAAAGCTGCCTACACATTTCTTCCAGAGGACGTATGTTTTCTTCTCAAGATATAAGCCCTGGGTCTGGGGGCTTGGGGTGCGGCGATCTACCTATCTCGTGTATGCCCAAAACCACACTTCTGTCTGTAAGTTCCCACAATAAATTACCCAAAACCAACAAAGTGGATTTGTCCACTTCCTTCTTTGTTTTTTCATCATCTTTGGCATTTAGGAGTTGCTTTGCCCTTTCACGGAACAGATAGAGTCTTTAAATTATTTGGTGATGTTCATGTTGCTTATTATTAGAGCAGAGCACTAGAAATACCTGACAAGACTCTCAGAATTCCCAAAATAAAAAAGCTTGAGCCCGGATTAATAGTTCTTGATAGAGTTATACTTCCAAGGGTCACTGCCACATGACAGTTCAATATAACTTGTTCAGCCACACTCCATGACATACAGCTATGGTAAATATTAAGGAATAAATGAACTAGAGTTGGTAATGCTGTTACCTTGGTTATTCAATTCACCCAAGCTAATATAATTCTAGGTATAAAAGCCATTTTAACTGAGTGTGGTGGCACATGCCGGTAGTCCCAGTTACTTGACTGAAGGGAGGATTGCTTGAGCCCAGGAGTTCTAGGCTGTAGTGTCTGAAGCTCCACTGGGCATCTGCACTAAGTCTGGCATCAATATGGCGACCCCTTTTGAGCAGGGGACCATCAGGTTGCCTGAGGAGGAGTGAACTGCCCCAGGTTGGAAACCTCTGCAAAAACTCCCGTGCTGATCAGTAGTGAGATGGTGCCTATGAACAGTCACTGCACCCCAGCCTGGGCAATATATCAAGACCCTGTCTCAAAAATAAATTAATTAATTTTATTAAGTTTCTTAAAGTCAGTTAAGCTAAAATATAGGGTTGAAGAAAATGTCAGCAAAACTAGAATAATAGTTAATGTTTACATATTAAGTACTTTTGAACTGCCAGGCACAACGTAAGTGCTTTAGAAATATTATCACATTTAATCCTCCCAACAACCTGATATAGTAGTTACTATTAAATCACCAACTCACATATAAGAAAACAGAAACTTAGGAAAGTTAAACAAATCACATCTTATAAACATGATCAATGGAAGAGCACAAGGGTCCAGAATCCTTATTCTTTCCCATTTTGCTGTTCTGCCTCTAACATATTGGACACAGCAACTGAACTTTGAACCAGGTACTGAAAGTTGAGTATGATTTTCCTGGTAAAGGAAAAGGAATGGGCAATTTTCTGGCTGGAAGAGATGGGGGAGCTGATAAAGAGTCACAGAAGTTGGAGGGATTTTCTTCCAAGAGGAGCAAATACACCGTGCCTTGTGCATACAATGTGACAGTGCTGGAAGATGAGACTGGAAGGGACACTTGGGCCCCGTTTGTTAGGGCTCTTCTGCATGTAGGAATTTTGACTTGATTCTAAAGGCACTGGCTAGTCAATGCAGGCTTACACTGGAGAATGAGAACTCAGATGTCAGTGTGGAGGGTGGATTGGATGCGTATTAAGGAATACTTCTTAATAATCCAGACAAGAGGTGATGGTGAACTAAACTAAGGCAGGAACTATCAAAGTAATAAAGATACAGACCTTGGAGGTGTAAAAGAAGAAATATTCTCCCCACTTTCCCCAGGCATTCTCCCCACTTTCCCCAGGCACACAGGTACAAGCCCTTCAGTGGACTGCTGGGTACATGCAAAAGTAGTAAGTGGTCAACAAAAGAATGCTGTCCTGAGTTTTTCACACTTCAGTGATTTTTCTTGCTGTGAGTTCTTTACCAATCCAGATGGGGAATCATCGCTTGTGACTTCAGAGGAAAGAGTAATTGTAAAATTCATTAAGTTTCTGAATGAAGATGTGTAATGTCTTCCAAGAAAATAATTAAACCACCATGGGGCAAAGACTCTCATCTGTACAATTTAAAGTTATGAAGTGGGTCACTGCTTAGTGTCTCATATCTCATTTACATGTAGCTAATACATAATCATTCTCCATCTGGCTAAAATTAATCACATTATTCTGTGTGTCAAGAAAAATATTTGTTTCATTTTAGAGGTTTTGGTATGCTATCAAATGTACTCTAATGTACATCTGAATTATTTGTTCTCCTTTTCTTGAAATATTTGAATCTTGGTAAAATGAAAAGAAAAAGTAGAATATATGGTATATTGAATAAAAGTTCTCAGCTTGGGTGTGGTGACTCATGCCTGTAATCCCAGCACTCTGGGAAATCAAGGTGGGCAGATCACTCGATCCCAGGAATTGGAACCAGTCTGGGCAATATGTCAAAACCCCATCTCTATAATATATACATATATATACACACATATATACATATATATACACACATATATACACACATATACACATATACATATATACACATATATACTATATAGATATATATACATATATACACACATATATATGTAAACATACTATATGTATATATACTATATATATATATATATGTAAATTAGCTGGGAATGGTGGCATGCATCTATAGTCCTAGCTACTCCGGAGTCTGGTGGGAGGATCACCTGAGCCTGGGGAAGTCAAGGCTGCAGTGAGCTGTGATTGCACCACTGCACTCCAGTTTGGGTGACAAAACAAGACCCCGTCTCAAAGTAATAATAATAATAATAATAAAATTTCTCATTTCAAAGAGCACAGAGCCCATAATAGAAGGGGGCTGGAATGGAATATTCTTATTCCTACTTAAAAGACAGGGAAACCAAACAGATGTGTGCCAAGCTACCACGTGTTGAGGTGCCCAATTAGGACAACAAGCCAAACTGAAAGTAACAATCAATTCATTTGCTGTGACAGTGCAGGCAAGAGTCAAAAGAGAAACACACTGGCTCCCTAGTGTTTTTTTCCCAATAGAACAGTGCCAGGCAATGGTCAAATGGAAGCACAGGTAGGGGAAATCATTTCACTACCAAGGAGCTCCAAACAAAAGATTCCTGTTTTTATGGACTTGTAGGGCCATGGAAAGAAAGGCGGTGGAGGAGGGCTAGGAGTGAAAAGGTCTGGAGTCAAAGTGGATAAACTGCCTCACCAAGGCCCACAATAACAAGGTCTCAGCAGAGCTGCCTGGGAAGTATCTCAGGCAGTCAAGAGGCTTCTGAATGGAGGTGCCTGAGCTGGAGATGTAGTTATGCATATTAGCACTGCAGCCCAAAAGGGCCTACATCATCAACAGCAACTCCCTCCAGAAAACTACAGTGTACTAATTATACAACAAGTCAGATGTGGGGAGAGCAGCTTCTCCCATGAGGCCTGCCAGGTAATACCTTGTAATTGCCTGTGGTAGGGCCTGAAAGATCACACATGGGACTAAGTCCTGGAACCACACTCCAAGAGTATCCATATCTGGTAATAAATGGGGTGGGTTCAGGTGTCCAGTATGCCAACCTGCCAGAAACCACACATTGTGAATAAAGAGCATAAGGAAATGTTCTGCTTTAACTTCAGGCAATTCTAGGGGTATTGGCTATCTTGATTTTCTATATCTGGGAAGCAAAGACCACACATCAGACCCAGTGCTTGGGTACAGAAAAGATAAACTGAAATTTTCTTTTTCATTTCCTAATTGCTGATTCCCCACCCATCAGACTTTGAAAAGAAAAAGAAAGGAAAAAAAAATGGGGCTTTGAAAATATTTGACCTTCCCCAGTCCTGTCATCATTCACTGTGTCAGTCTTCGCCACAAGAAAAGTAGGCAGCAGCATATACTGTGTAATTCAGAGCACTGACAAGAGTCTCCTCCATCTGCCTTGGAGGCAACTCATAGTTCAGAAATCTCTTAAACGTGTCCCCAGTTCTCATTCTTAGTACCTCTCACTTAGATTATTGTAATAGACTCCTGGTTACTCTCCCTGCCTCTGGTTTATTTCTCCCACCAGAATATCTGGCAAGCAATAAGAGATATAGAACTGGAATTTCTTTGGAGTTAGTTGTGTAGAGGTGGTAATTGAATCTCATTAGGAACGAACAAGCTCTCCTGGTAAGGAGTGTAGCTTTAAAAACAAACAACTTTCCTCCTTTTTTTTTCCCCCGAGACAATGTCTGTTTTTGTCACCTAGGCTAGAGTGCAGTGGCACAATCATGGTTTGCAGCAGCCACAACCTCCCAGGCTCAAGCAATCCTCCCACTTCAGCCTCCTGAGTAGCTGGGACTACAGGCATGAGCCACGATGCCTAGCTCACTTTCAAAAAAAAAAAATTGTAGAGATGGATTCTCACTATGTTGCCCAGGCTGGTCTTAACTCCTGGATTCAAGGAATTCTCCCACCCTGGCCTTCCAAAGCGCTGGAATTATAGAGTTGAGCCACCACTCCTGCCAAAACGAAACAAAACAAAACAAAAGAAACACACATTTTTCTACTAGTGAATGGGGGGCATACCCGTTTGTTTATTTGTTCACAAAATAATAATTGTATTTATTATTATATAATTACTATACTCTAGTCATTAAAATATTCTACTAGAAAACAATAACGTGGGGTTTCCAGCAATGGCTTCATATACAAGATGACATTTAAGAGATAAGAAGAAAGGAGAAAGGAAGAGGAAGAAAAATATGTGAGCATAAAGCATCCTGACATATTCAAAATTTTTCAAGCATTTCCCTGCGTTTGGATATTGGGGGTATCTTAATCCATTTTGTGCTGCTTCAACAGAATATCAATAATAGTGGAGGACTTCAACATCCTTCTGACAACACTAGACAGATCACCGAGGCAGAAAAGTCAATGAAGAAACTCTGGACTTTGATTGGACTTTAGACCAAATGGACCTAATAGACATCTAAAGAACATCCTTCCAGCAACCATAGAATATGCATTCTTCTCATCTCTCTATGGAACCTTTTCCCAAATTGACTATATGTTTGGCTACAAAGCAAGTATCAATAAAATTTTTTAAAAACCTAAATCATATCAAGTATCATCTTAGATCACAGTGGAATAAAATTAGAAATCAATAGCAAGAGGAACTTTCCAAACTACACAAACTTGGAAGCTAAACAACTTGCTCCTGAATGACTTTTGGATAAACAACGAAATTGAGAAACGTTTCTAAAAATCTTCAAAAAATAAAAACACAATATACCAAAACCTCTGGGATACAGGAAAAGCAGTAA